ATATACCCTCAGCTCAGTCATGGTCAGAATAACCTTGAAAAACCTGAGCAGGTATATTAATCTGTGTAGTAATGAGCATGGTGCTGCGGGTTAATGTGCTGGACTGCCATGTCGGCTTCAATTGCAAGGTTGGTGGTTCAAGTTCACCAGCCACGCCTCGGAAACCTTATACAGGGTTATGAGTTGGGACTGACTCAACAGCACTTAACAACAACAACAACAACAGTACTGAGTGTATCCGTGCCAAGTGGTGAGAGAAGACATCAGCTATATTCCCCAACACAGTTCTTGTAGGGCTTCTGTGAAGAATCATTACATTTACTTAATATGAGGCTATGTTGATAAGTTTTGCTACAAAATCATAGGACTCTTTATTAAACAAAAATATCAAAATATGAAACTATTATTTCTCAACAATTCCTCCTTCTAGGTCTACACCCTTCTGAAGGTGGTATATTTCCTTCTCTTTAACCCTTCCCCTGGTAGCGTAGTGGTTACGACTTGGGCTGCGAACCTTAAGGTCAGCAGTTTGAAACTACCAGCCGCTCCGCAGGAGAAAGATGAGGCTTTCTACTCCCGTAAAGATTTACACCCTCGGAAACCCTGTACAGGATCGCTATGGTTCGGAACCGACTCGACGGCACTTCACAACCCTTCCCCTGGTGTGGTGCTATGGGTTAATGCGTCACACTACACAGCTGTTTGAACTACAAGGTTAGCGCTTCACATTCACCAGCTGCTCCTTGAAAACCCTAGACAGGGTCACTATCTATGGGTTGGAATCCACTCGGAATCAACTCGACAGCACTTAACAACAACAACCCTTCCCCGAAGAATGCTGCACTCTTCAGTTTACATCACGTCAAAATGACAGTTTGGGCACCCTCAGGGGAGTTAAGTTTGCTCCTTTGAAATGTTGAGTTTGAGAAACAAACTGAGGTGGCAATATCAGGGCTGTAGGGTGATGGGGTAAGACTTTCCAACTAAATTCTCACAGGACAGTTTTTCCTACCCTCCAAGAATGAGCAGATGCATTGTTGTGACGAGAAAAAAGTCCTTGGCACAACTTTCCTGGCCTTTTAGTCACCAATGCAATTTTCTATTTCCTTAAAAATCTCTTATAAGTCCCCAAGATCATCCTGTGCCCTTCAAGAAAGTCCATCAAAATGATCCCTCTGGAGTTGCCAAAAATAGTTGCCAGTACCTTCTCTGGTAGCACAGTGGTTATGAATCGGGCTGCGAACTTCAAGGTCAGCAGTTCAAAACTACCAGCTGTTCCGCGGAAGAAAGATGAGGCTTTTTGCTCCCGTAAATATTTACAGCCTAGAAAACCCTGTATAGGGTTGCTGTGAGTCAAAGCAGACTCCATGGCACACCACCACCATGACCACTACCTTCTGAACTGACCTCCCTGCCTTGAGTTGAGCTGAGTCAGAAGACCCTCTGGGAAGCCAGTCTTCGACACCTTTGGTTGAAGGCACCTTAATGAGACTAAGACAAGTATATTACTGAGAGAGCTTGTATGCTGTCATCTACAGATCTCAAACACATGGAGAAAACCGGGACTCTCATAGCAAAACTTTTTGACTTGTCCTTGTATATACAAAATGTAGGAATCTGTCTACATGAAAGAGAAAACCGTGAGAAAAAGGGTCAGAGAGAAAACAGGGGGAGAAGGCTAATAGCATATACAACACAAGGGGCCTCTTGTCTTCTCGCCTCTCCAGGCCCTGATTGAGTGAAATTAACTTCAGTTTCAGCCGGAGCCAGAAATGCCTTTTTAATAAGCAAACAGGGAAGCAGATCCTATATCATACACACCTATGAGGGCTTCCAGGCGTCTCTGGTGAGCTGAGAAGAAGCCAACAGCCCATAGCAGCCAGCGAGAGGCACAACCCAGCATGCCTCAGCGATGCCGGGATTTCTCTGGCTCCTTGTGCAGGTGTGATGGAAGGAAACATGGTCCCAACAAAGTAAGACAACCGAGAGGAAATATGAGGGGGCTTCACAAAGATCAAGGCAAAAATGGAATTAAAAAGAAAGGAATACCCCCACAAATTTTCTGAAGAACCTCACATATTCAAGTCAACAGTATGTATATACAGTACTGAG